GCGCCGCCCCCCCACGCCCCCGGTGGGGCTCGCCGAGCCTTGCGACCAGGCAGGACGCAGGGGCAAGTCCCCGGGGCGGCGGGGGGGGGCGGTTCCAGGAGTTCCCCCAGCCCCCCTCGGAGGTAGCTGACCTTCAAAGCCTGCTCCCCCCCTTCCTCCCCCAAAGGAGCGGATCTGGAGCTCAGGCTGGGCGCTTCACTGTGTGATTTTTGAAACGGGGACGTCAAATGGCCCGCTCTGCCGTTGTCTTCGCTACCGTAAATCCGGATTGCGCTGAGATTTCATGACGGATAGTCCGTTGGGGGAATCGTAGTAACCGATTTTAAAAGCCGGCAAATCAACACAAAGTAAATAAGGGCTTGTATCTTCTGGCCACCCCACCCTCGCCGTCCACCCCCGCCCCCCTTTGCTCTTGCCAAACAAAGGAGGGGGTCGAGGTGGGTTCTGCGCTGCAGATGCTCACAGTAACCCGGAGATCAACCAGGGCCAAGGAGCTGCCCGGGCCTCCTGGAGTCTCATTTCCCTACGCCTGCCTCCCTCCGCCTTTGCCTAGACCAAATTGGAAATGATTGAGGAATCTCTTTCCCCCCTTCCGTGGGACAGAGGCGCTCCTTGCGACAATATCGCCACTGGGTAGGGATGATACCCACCCAACCCCTCCATTGGCTGCCGGCATCAAGGCTCGCATCAATCAAACGATGAGGGGAAGGACAGGGCCACGGCAGCCGAGCCACAGGCTGTCGGTGGGGACCAGCTAGTCCAGTGCTGGGGGTGGGCACGGCTGGGGCCAAGGCATTTCACATGATCTCGCCGGTGTAGCTGTCCCGTGAAACCGATGGAGATGCTTTTCGGTGCGAGAAGCGCAGTGGTTTTCCACTGGGAAATGCCGGGAGAAACGCTGAGTCAGCACGCTGGCTCCCAGCAGGATCCGCGCAATCTCGGCGCAGTCTCCGCGCACTCTGTTAGGCTGCAAACGAGACGAAGCAAGAGCCGGGCTAAAATGCTTTTTTTTCCCACCTTTCCCCTCACGGCGTACCCTTTCTTGTGGCCCAAACTGTTTATCTTCTTAGTAAAAAAAAATAAAATAAAATCCTCGAGTGGAGGAGATTGTTAGGTAGGAGCCTATAATCTATATTTTGTCAAGAGTATCAAATTCATTCCGAAAGAAAAGCTCGATCCATTTATTTTTGCTGCTTGAATAACACAGCTGGATGATGCCCTGAGCTTACGCTAGACGGTTGCTCATCATTCATTCGCCAAGAACTGGCCTAAATGGTGCCTGTGGGATTAGGTCAATTTTAGTGGATCTACTTCGCCTCATTTGGTTACTAATTGGTTTCTTGTTTTATAAATCGAAATCTCATTTTCAGGAAATTACAAAACCCATGCAGCCAGTCCATTGAGGTAATCCGTGGGTCGGGGGTATTTAAATGGAAATGGTTCTACAATGCATCAAGTATTAAGCAACAGCAAAACTTCGCCTCTATTTCCGAATGAAACGTGAGCTCGCTGGCTCCTTAGATCCATAATAGATACATCCCTTCTAAGGCTACTTATGTAAATATGATAAACCAGACTTTGGTGGGGGAGGGGACGCAAGGAGGAAAGCAAAATGTATCTGCTAAGGTTAACGTGGCATATCCTGGAAATCTTCCAAAATAGATTATGTTTTGCTTTGTCTTCGGCCACTTTAGCTGGGAAAATCCTTTGCCTAAAAACGATTTAGTTATTCTTCCCCTCACAAAGCTGCTTGTTTCTATTCCAAACCTATTATGCTGTTGGCTCTCCAAATTACAAGAGAATCTTTAGATCTTGTTTCCAAGCGTAATCCTGAAGCAAAAGGGAGAGCTGATTTCCTTGTTTTGTTTTAAATAGACAATCAAAGGATTTGCAGAATTTTCTGCGGTAGGTCAAGTGCAAGAAATCACAGTTTGCCCCCTCGATAAAAGGAAATTGGATGTTAAAGCGAATAGACAGGAAAAAATATAGAAGAGAATATTAATGGAGAGGTTTTCTGCTATAATCTTTAACAACAGTATTTAAGGGGCATCAGGAGACCCCGTTGATTTGGGAGAGTCTGGGCTTGGCAATGAATAGAAATAGCCTCCGACTCGAAAGTGCTGAAACATCTGAGAAGTACAAAAAGCTGTCTCGTGACAGGATTTTAAAAAGCCGGTTCAGGTAGACAAGTGAAAATGTTTAATTATAAACCATTAACAGACACGGCCCCGCAGCGCGGGGTTTGCACCTGAAACACGGCGAGGAGAGTTCAGCGCCCCGTGAAGAGCCGCCTTCCCGCGGGGAGGTTAACCTGTAATGCCCGTGAGCTGTTCATTAACCTGCCGGCGTCGGGTTATTTTTCCCTTTTAGAATAAGAATAATTAGAGCCGTAAACGTCGATTAATAAACAACTTAAATCATAGGCGGGGAGCGCAGATTTAATCCCGAATACAGAAACCTGTCATTTAGATTTCCCTCCAGGTTGGGGGGACGTCGCAAGGAGCCGCCTGGCTCCCCAACAGAGAAACCTCTGAGGAGCAGGA